AGGAGCCCCCGCCCCGCCCCCACGCCGAGGCCGAGACCCTCATCCAGGACCTCAGGTGGGTCACAAGGTCCCCAAGGTGTCCCCAGGTGTCCCCAAGATGTCCCCAGGTGTCCCCAGTCTCCAGGTATTCCCAGCTGTGTCTCCAGCGATGTTCTCAGGTGTCCCCAGGTGTGTCCCAGGTGTGTCTCAGGTGTCCCCCAGGTGTGTCCCAGGTGTGTCCCAGCTGTGCCCAATCTCCAGGTGTTCCTGGTTGTGTCTCCAGGGATGTTCTCAGGTGTATCTCAGGTGTGCCCGGGTGTGTCCAGGTGTTCCCCAGGTGTGCCCAGTTGTATCGCAGGTGTGCCCAGCTGTATGTCAGGTCTATCCTAGGTGTGCCCAGGTGTCCCCAGGTGTGCCCAGGTGGTTCCCAGGTGCATCCAGGTAACTCAGGTGTGTCCAGGGTTTCCTCAGTGTATCCCAGATGACCCCAGGTGAACTCAGGTGTGCCCAGGTCTATCCCAGCTGTATCCCAGATAACTCAGGTGTGCCCCAGGTGTGCCCATATGTGCCCAGGTCTATCCCAGGTGTACCCAGGTGTGCCCAGGTGTGCCCAGGTAACTCAGGTGTGCTGTCTCCCGCAGCGGCTCGGTGGACGACGAGGAGGAGATGCTGTACGGGGACTGGGGGGTGTTTCCAGGGGGGTCCCAGGTGTATCCCAGGTGTATCCCAGGTGTATCCCAGGTCTATCCCAGGTGTGCCCAGGTGTGCCCAGGTGTGCCCAGGTAACTCAGGTGTGCCGTCTCCCGCAGCGGCTCGGTGGACGACGAGGAGGAGATGCTGTACGGGGTCTGGGGGGTGTTTCCAGGGGGGTCCCAGGTGTATCCCAGGTGTACCCCAGGTGTACCCAGGTCTATCCCAGGTGTATCCCAGGTGTACCCCAGGTGTACCCAGGTCTATCCCAGGTGTACCCAGGTGTGCCCAGGTGTGCCCAGGTAACTCAGGTGTGCTGTGTCCCGCAGCGGCTCGGTGGATGACGAGGAGGAGATGCTGTACGGGGACTCGGGGGGCTCGGGCCGCTCGCCGCCCCGGGAGGAGCCGCGGCGGGCGGGACCCCCCGAGCGCGAGCCGGCCCCGCTCCGGCCCGAGCCCTCGCACTGGTGCGTGCTGGCCCGGGAGAACGGCCACATGGAGGTACTGGGAGCACTGGGAACGGGGCTGGGAATGGGGACTGGGAATGGGGAACTGGGAAACTGGGAATGGGGAACTGGGAATGGGGCTGGGAACTGGGAACTGGGAACGGGGCTGGGGAACTGGGAATGGGGAACTGGGAATGGGGCTGGGAACTGGGAATGGGGCTGGGAACGGGGCTGGGAACTGGGAATGGGAACTGGGAAACTGAGAACGGGGATGGGAACTGGGAATGGGGAACTGGGAACGGGGCTGGGAATGGGGAACTGGGAATGGGAACTGGGAATGGGGCTGGGAACTGGGAATGGGAACTGGGAAACTGAGAACGGGGATGGGAACTGGGAACGGGGCTGGGAACTGGGAACGGGGCTGGGAATGGGGACTGGGAATGGGGCTGGGAACGGGGCTGGGAACTGGGAATGGGGCTGGGAACTGGGAACGGGGCTGGGGACTGGGAATGGGGCTGGGGAACTGGGAACGGGGCTGGGAATGGGGAACTGGGAATAGGGCTGGGGACTGGGAACTGGGAATGGGACTGGGAATGGGGAACTGGGAATGGGGCTGGGAACTGGGAATGGGGCTGGGGACTGGGAACTGGGAATGGGGCTGGGAACTGGGAACGGGGATGGGAAATTGGGAATGGGGCTGGGGAACTGGGAACGGGGCTGGGAACTGGGAACAGGGCTGGGAATGGGAATGTGGCTGGGGAACTGGGAACGGGGATGGGAAACTGGGAATGGGGCTGGGGACTGGGAATGGGAACTGGGAGGGACTGGGAACTGGGGCTGGGGGCACTGTTTTCCCTCTAGTATACCCATTTTCCAGTTGCTGTTTTCCTGCTGGAATTCCCATTGTTTTCCCCCTGGAATTCCTGGTGTTTTCCCCCTGGAATTCCCATATTTTTCCTGCAGAAATTCCCATCATTTTCCTGTCAAATTCCCATCCTTTTCCTACCAGAATTCCCATTTTCAGTTGCTCTTTTCTTGCTGCAATTCCCATTCCCCCACCGATAACTCCCATTCTTCTCCCACCGTCATTTTCGTTCTCCCATCAAAATCCCCATTTTTTTCCCCGTAATTCCCACTTTTCCCATTTTCCCCAAGATCTACCAGGTTCCCGAGTGGCGCCTGGTGTTCCTGGTGAAGAACTTCCCGGTGGGGCAGCGGGTGCTGGTGGATTCCTCCTTCGGGCAGCCGGCGGCCGAGCCCCGCAAGGACGAGCGCGGCGAGCGGGAGCTGCCGCACGTGCGGGAGCTGCTGCTGGTGGGGCTGGGCCGCGCCCAGAGCCGCCCCTTCCTGCTGGTACTGGGCAAACTGGGAGCACTGGGAGCGCTGGGATGGGCACTGGGATGGGCACTGGGAGCACTGGGAGCTGCCGCACGTGCGGGAGCTGCTGCTGGTGGGGCTGGGCCGGGCCCAGAGCCGCCCCTTCCTGCTGGTACTGGGCAAACTGGGAGCACTGGGAGTACTGGGAGGGATGGGAGTGCTGGGATGGGCACTGGGAGCACTGGGATGGGCACTGGGAGCACTGGGATGGGCACTGGGAGCACTGGGGGCACTGGGAGCACTGGGGGCACTGGGAGCACTGGGAGCACTGGGATGGGCACTGGGAGCACTGGGATGGGCAC